GTCAGCCTCCAAGCCCACTTGTGTAACCATGTTACTTATCAGCTGCCCAGGAGACTACATTACGGGGTATTCCCTACAGCCATGCATGCAGCTGCTGAGAGCAAACTCCAGGGAAATGCAAAGCTCCTAATTCTTCCAGTTTCATGTTTTGGTCCACAAAGGGCTCCATAGTTGTGGGAATTGACTATGACTGCCGCGAGAGGATGGTGTACTGGACAGATGTTGCTGGACGGACAATCAGCCGTGTCAGTCTGGAACCAGGAGCAGAGCCTGAGACGATCATCAACTCAGGTCAGCAACTTTATCCAGAAGACACTTTCTATTTCATTTGACTCTACTAAGTGCAAAAAAAAAAAAAAGTGCCAGACAAGTTGCTTCACTGAGTGGTACCATACCAGTCCCTCTGGAAACACACATTCCTATGCAAGAAACGAGAAGGTGATTCTTACTCTGAGCCTGTTGAGAAATAGGGCTCCCAACAGAAAGGGCTCACAGTGGGAACTGAGGGTGGCCACAGCTGCTGCTGCATATGCCTGGTGCCATCGGGCCAGTGGGTGTATCAGTCTAGAGGAGAATAAGAGGTGGCAGAACAAGTTCCTCTGTTAATCTGCTGCTTGCAACTGAGTGCCTCTCAGGACTTTCTTTCTTAAAAACTTTTCAAACCTAATAGATCTCCCTGCTTCAGGTTTCCTTTTCATACCTGCAAATGCTCCAGTCCTGCCATTGTTCTATTTCCAGGTCTGATAAGCCCGGAAGGACTTGCCATCGACCACTTCCGTAGAACAATGTACTGGACGGACAGTGGTCTGGACAAGATAGAGAGAGCCAGGCTGGATGGCTCCGAGCGCCAAGTCCTCTTCCACACGGACCTGGTGAATCCGCGGGCCATTGCTGTGGATCCAATCCGAGGGTCAGCTGGGCTTCCCTATTCTCCTGCTACCTATAGATCCTATTCTGAAGCCCTTGGATTTTAAATGCCTTGTGGAGAGGGTCAGAACAAGAGTGTAAAAGCCCCAGTGCATGAATTTAACAATATTTACATAGGATCTACTAGGTGTAGACACTGTTCTGGGCAAAGACAAGGTCTATTCTTTCATGGAGCTCATACTCTAGAAGTAAGTTAGTAAACTAATGAATAAACTAGGAAATTATTAAGACTGTGGTACAATACACAGAGAATTCAGAGAGTATGTGAGAGGGACTAGGGGCTGATGCTGATCAGATGATCTGGCCAGGCTCCCTCACACTTAACCTGGAATGAGATGGGTCTCCTTTAGCAATGCATTAGGAAATCTTAGTGTTGAAATCCTAGGTTTACCTTCATTAAATGGTGGAAATAACCAAAACTCAGAGACCGACACTTATTTCTTAGACTGCATTTTCACTGTATTTAATTTATCCTATAGCAACTTGTACTGGACAGATTGGAATCGAGAAGCTCCTAAAATTGAAACATCTTCTTTAGAAGGAGAAAACAGAAGAATTCTGGTGAATAAAGACATTGGACTACCTAATGGTTTAACCTTTGACCCCTTCTCCAAACTGCTCTGCTGGGCAGACGCAGGTATTACTGATGGCTGCGAACACACCGCACTCCCTTACCGTGGGAGCTGCTCTCTACCTCAGATTTTACAGCAAAGCCAGATCCCATCACACAGAACTTCTGGCTTAAATTTTTATCAGTACAGCACAGAATCTACTCCTTTAATTGGTGTATAAACCGTTGAAGAACATTTTGTATTGGTATTTATAATCCTGGGGTTTGGGGCGGCGGGAGGGCAGTGGTCTGTGACTTAGGTGGTAATTTGAGGGCTAGTACTATGTCCAACTCATTTTTGTAATGCTTGTCCACAAACACCTGGCCTAGTTTTTAAAGAAATTTTACTTAACTGCTGAAACTGACAAACTTAGATAACTGAACAAAGTTTTCTCTTTTTTTGCCAGTATTAGAACATTTTTAAGTATCTATTGCTTTACCAGTCAATAGGCTATCATGGTGAGGACATTTGGAAAGTGATATGGCAGCATGGCCTTCAGTAGTAAGTCTGGGTTGCCAATACCCAAGTTCTTTCTGTAGTGTGATTTCCTTATTAGAGCAATTTGAAAAAATGCTGTATGTCTACTTTCATACTAAAGAATATGAAAAGGTGCATTCTTAAAGAGTTTATAATCTAACAAAAAGAATTATAATGTAGATGAGTTGCATTTTTAAAAATTTGAAATTTAAAGCCAGGTTCCATAAGAAACTTGTTAAGTATTGCAAAATTTCGAAGACTACTTCCTTTACACTGAAAAACATGAGCCATGTTACCATTTTAGCCACTTTTAATTCCTTATCTAGGAAATAAGGTCTTCAAAAAATATTTAAGGATTTTAGTTAAAAGGCATTATACATTGCTTATAAAGGGCAAGTATTTATCTAGATACTATGTTTACAACAATTTATAAGGTGAGACTTTAAATAGAACAAAGTTTATCTCTAATGTACTACTTTGGGAGAAAAAATGCAATCCTCTCTTCCAAGAAAGGATTAAGAGTCTCAATTCTAAAAACTAGAATGCTATTAAACAAACTGAAAACTGGTAATAGAAAGGAAAATTTTCATTTCTAATTTGTATCACTGCATTGGGAATAAAATGTCTTATTTCCTATTCTACCTTTGTTTCCTTTTGGAAGGCCTCTACCTGCCACAATTATTTTTGGCAAAAAATTTTCTTTCTCATGGTATGAAAGGATCTCATTTTCCCTCTCTGATGTTTTAAAAGGAACCAAAAAACTGGAGTGTACACTTCCTGATGGGACTGGACGGCGTGTTATTCAGAACAACCTCAACTACCCCTTCAGTATTGTTAGCTACGCAGATCACTTCTACCACACAGACTGGAGGAGGTGAGCCTGACACACCCTGGCCAAGCCTGAAAAGGCAACCTAGTCTGGAAGACATACCACCATTAGTAGCATTTTACCTAATGTCTCTAATGACTTTAGTAATTAAACTCTCCATTGAAGTTTTCATTACCTCTTAATTAGTAGATAACATTGTTCAAGTGTTACTGCTTTTAAAATCATAATGGTATTGCTCACAGGTTGCTTAAAAATGGCAGAGATGATACTAAACTGTCTAAGAAAGGAAGTGTATTAATCTAAATCTGATCTTCAGAGAATAAAAGACTATACTTAAGTGGGACCATGAGGTATATTAGCTGTAGGATTTAAATTGATTTTTAGAAAATGACATTATGGACATATGAGTTGTCCACCTGGGAGAAGGAAAAGTACTGTAATTTAGACTAGTTCTCCAAGGAGGGATATTAAAAACATATCTAGATGTCTAAGCCTTTCTACCCCATCCTTTGCAGTCTTGATTTAATTGGTCTGGCAGGAGGTCCAGGCATCAGTATTTTAACAGCTCCTCGAGTAATTTGTTTGGCAAGAGCTGAGAAGCACTGATTTATTTATACCAGTGGTTCTCAAAATTTAGGGTAGCATCAGAATCATTCCAAAGGATTGTTAAAAGAGATTGCCAGGTCCCATCCCATAATTCCTGATTTAGTAGGCCTGAATTGGGGCCCAAAAATTTGTATTTTTAGCAAATTTCCAGATGATGCTGGTCTGGGGACCACTTTGAGAACCACTGATAGAGGAAAATCTTCGAATCTAAAGGAGTCAAAACACACTTGGTTAAATTAAAAAGATACTCTAGAATGCTGCCTAGCAGAGATTCTCTATTGAAAGTAACTTATTTCCTATCCTACAAATTTACTCTTCCTTTCTGTTACCAGGGATGGTGTTATATCTGTAAATAGAGACAGCGGCCAGTTTACTGATGAGTATCTCCCAGAGCAGCGGTCTCATCTCTACGGGATAACTGCAGTCTACCCCTACTGCCCAGCAGGTAAATAAAATGCTCAGGCTGCTCCTTTGGACCAGCAGGGTAGAGAACGATGTATCTGGCAACTGATTACCCTTGGCTCAAATACAGCTGCTGCCACTGACACCACTGAGAGCCACTTTGAATGGGAAAGTTAATGGCCATCACATAGGGAAGTAAAGACCCCTAAGTCCACCTAGCTCGACCATACACAAAAAAGATCAGCCTATTAGGATATTTCCCCTTTAAAATACTTGCTGTGGCAACAGGATTATAAAATATTCACCCACTGTTCCTTTCACCTCTACTCACAGGAAGAAAGTAAACATGGCATCATAAAGGACTTGGAGTTTACAATCAGAATCTGGACCCTAAAGAACATTTACTGCAAACAAAGGTGAAGAAAGTGGAAAAAGGAATTGGACTTACAAGTTGAACACTTTCAGTACAAAAAGACTCTATCTTGTGAAAAGTTTATACCTCAATCTTTACTACTGTATTTTGAAAAACAAAAGTTACTACAGGTTTTAAAAAGTAACCGTTTTAATTATTGCTTATTAAGCAATTTTTTATAAACATTTCTATTATATTTAAAAGGTCAAATGCATTCAATGAAGAGCCAATAAGAATATGTTAAAACCTAAATCTAATTTTTGCTAAGAATTCTTCCTGGCCAAGTAATTAAAGTAGGATGATCAGTATAAAGACACAATCCCAAGGATTATAAGCCTTGATCTAGAGAAGGCTATGCAGAACTGGTAGGGAAAAAAACAACTTATTTATAGTTTCCCAGCAAAAGTTGTTTTTTTTTTTTTTTTTTGGTTTTGTTTTTTTTACCTCTGCATCACTGCATTTCTATTTATATTAAAAGGTGCTAGAATGTTTCAATTTGTATCTAATGATCCTGTAAGTCCCTCTATAGTTACCCACAGAAGTTACTACATTTTTAAATACCAAAGATGTAACAATTCTCAAATTTTCTAGATTACTCCAATAAAATATTTTAAGTTTTCCTATGATTTGAGGATCTGTATTGTCTATATAACAAAGCTGGGGGTTGGCATGTACCTCAACCACAAAAGAGGATGATTAATTATATAGACACAGAAACATAACAGTCAAAAAAAAATCCACTTTCCTGAACTTTATTAAAGAAAAAGCAATGATGGTAAATCTCGAGAACATAGTCAAATTTCTAGGATTCTTCCCTTGAAAATGTGACATTTGATTTCCAAACACATGCCAGAGCATACATGGTTCCCAATTGTACTAAGTAGGTGAGAAGCTGAAATCCTAAAACGTTCATCTTCCAACTTTCCCCAGTCTGTGGTCTGTCTTTGGATCAGCAATAATTGCCTGAACAGCTACTATGGCTTCATTAATTTTTGTCTGTAGCTCTCTGAGCTCTTCTATATGCAGCAATCGCAGAATTTGAGCAGCTTCATTAAGAACTGCATCTATTTTATAAGAAAACTGCATTAATCAGTATTCAAGACAATTTACTTGCCCATTTCTCCCCCAAATATTCAGCTAGTCTCTAAAAATAGTTTGAGTTCAAACAAAATCACTCACCTCCTGTGTCAAAACCAAGAATATGTTTGTCTAAAGCAACAGGCAAGCCCTTAAAAAAGAAAAGGACAAAATGAAACTTTATAGTTAAGAATCATGTTCTTTTCTCATCTGTAACTGAAAATCAGCTAGCTGTTCTGTTAACCCTTTTAGCTGCAGTGGCAAGTGAGGTGGAGAATGTTCTCTAAATTTGCCTTTTGAGGAGTGAAAGAATGGCCTCTGCGTGTAGTGGGAAGCTAGTTCCATCCCCCATTCCCTCCCGTAAGACTAGGCTATAAAGCAGTCGTTCCTTTCACAGCTACGCTCTGTCACTGCTGCTATGGAAGGGTAGATGAGCAGGGCTGCTGCTGTCCTGTTTTAGCTCCAGTAAACAGCAGAGTACAGGGCAAATGGGATAGAATTACTTTTAATATTTCTGAGCACATTAATTTGTCTTTATACAAAATCTAAAATATGTATTACTTTTCTTTCAGCTAGCATGATGATTACCAGCTTACCTAGAGTTCTTTGGAAATTACTCTGAAATCAAGGAAAATGAGCAGACTTTAAACCATTTAGTTAACCCATCAGTACCTCTACAGAGTTATGCCAAAGACGGCAAACATGATGCTGAACTCTATGGAGTTCACTTAACAAGAACAGGCAGTCTAAATTCTGCTGATCATACTATATAAAATCTATACTTTCAATGTTATAAAATGCTACGCTGTCACTACTCGATTCTTGCCTACTAATGCAAACCTACCTATGCTCCAACTACTTTAAAATAATACATTATATAAGTGAAGAAATAAACAGACATGTAAATTCAGCAAGCAAAACTAACAAGTAGAATTGCACTGAGTGGCTTTCTATGTCAGTCTTGTTTTCATTTTATTTGCGAAGAGACCAAGGAACAGCTGCCGCAAAGATCTTGACCAAATGCCCCAAGAGCTAGTTATGGTTATAAACAAGAACACTCACTGTAAGAACTTCTCCTCTATATTACTATTTTGCATGGTACCTTGAGGGGACACTAACTTAAGACCAGGAGCACTGAAAATTTTACTTTCCAAACAAAAGCAAAAAGATCTGGCTATGCCCTTATTTGCACTGCCCTCAAACCAAAGGCACAGTTTTGCTGCATCAATGAATGCACGAATGATTTTATTATGCCAGAACAATTTACTGTCTGTTCTACAGTGTGGGTGAAAGAAGCTGATCTTTAATCCAATTTCCAGTGGCCTAATCCATACATAATTAATAAGCAATAAAAGCCTTTAAAACAAACAGTGTTTTTTAGGGGGAACTACACTGCCCTGGCATTAAAAACCTTTTCACACTGCTGGGCCTTGATAAAAAGATGGGATCAGAGGACAAAAGACATTGAGGAATTAGGAGAGAAAAAAAAAGAACCAGAATCTAGAATGTCCCTTGTGCCCAAGATATTCATCACAGTATCTATGCACAGTAAGAAGCATTATCAGACAACTGCAGACACTGCTGCTAATCCCTGAGGACATTTCTCTACACAGTCCAGTCAGTGAGACTTCAGGGGGAATCTGAATTTCTAGTGCATTTCATCTAAAATATTGCAGAATTCAGGGAAAAATAGGGTGTATGGTTTCCTTAGCCTACAAAGTAGGACTGAAAAATGACAGGTGCAGTCACCTGTACCCAGGAACTTACACTCTAATATAGCCTCTATGTCCCAAACCCTTCACCTGGGCTGGTCAACTAGCTCATGTAGGCCTTCACACACAGATCTTTGTCCCTAACTACCATAAGAGCGCTGGCTCTTCAATCAGACTGCCTGAGCTCGACCACTTATCAACTAGGTGACCTTAGGTAAATTACTTTCTCATAAGTGATGCTAAGAAATGTGAATAAAATGAAAACAGATTTCTCTGAAGAAACAAAAGAGAAAGGACAGGATTTAGGTCAAAAGAAGGAAATTAATAAAGATAACATGTGTTCTATTTTCCAGCAACTAATCAAAATAACCCAGTAAATTTTGCAAGGTAAATACTCTTAAAATAAACAACTGGGCACATGCAATGGTTTGTGCTGGTAGACTGTGGGTATACTACCAATAACTGCTTTAAAGTATGAAATAAGTTTATTTTTCACTCAGTAATGGCTATAATTTGCTTAAGAACCAAATTCAATCCCACTGAAATAAGCTACCCTTTCTCCAAGCAGTTCTAACAAAGAATGGTTATCTTAAGCAGATACATACAAAATTTAAACTCATGACAATACCAGAAGAAACTTTCATTAATAGTTAATCTAAAATTTATTGGAAAAAATAACGCATACCTCCTTCGTTTGATTTGCTTTAGCAACTGCATCCTGTGTCAGGCGCTCCTGGACCAAAATGCGAATTGCCTAAGAAATGCAAAAGTAGTTTTTATTTTTTTATTGGCTGTTCACCTTCTCTGCTCTGAATCTAGAGAATAAGGATACCCAATTTGATGAAGTTAGAATTACCTAGTTCATTAACAAAATCAGCCAATAAAAACAAAACTGCTGACAGAATGAAAGTTTTCATTTTAATACTTTATAATGTGGAAAGATGCTCTCAACAATTAACAGCATTTTTTGGAATAGGTAATTTATATGCATGAAAAATTGTAACAAAGGATACGTGGTTTAAACAAAAAGGGGGGGTCTCCTTCTTACCCAAGACTCAACCATCCCTCTAGACAATCACTGGAACCAGATTACTGTGTACCCTTACAAGGATTCGATTGTATTACAAGTATGCTCAAGCATAAATGCGCACATACACGCAAACTCCTGACACAAAGGGTAGCCTATCGTATACACTGTCCTTGACTTTTGTTCACTTAATTATAGTAAAATGTTTTCACTTCCCTCATATAACACTTTTTTCTTCATCACCAAGGTGTTTTATTATGGCAGACACAAGTGCATTCATGTACATACACACACTCAAAAACTAAGGTTTTTTAAAATGGAATTTTAATTAGTGGATAACAATTGTAACGAAAGGGTAGAAACTTGAAAACTTACTAATATAACAAGCCAAATGCTACATTTAAAAGCCATTATACCAGTCTTTAATAGGAGTCACAAATTTATTAATCAGTCTAGTTGCAGAATAGTCAATGATGTGGCAAACCTATCAAGAGGTTTTCCATCTTGTCATGGATTGTTTGAATGCTCCATGCAGCTTACAATTTTATAAAGCTTTTGATTATTGATTTATACCTTTCCCCTTTGGGTTTTTAAAGTCTAACAAAAGCACCCCAGGTATGCTAGTCTCTTTGTCTTCTCACTCAGTTTATGATTAAAGGTGACATGACCACTGCACAACTGTTCCAAAGCAATTTACTTAATTCCTGAGTAAAGAACGAAACCTTGAAAGAGCTAAATTTCAATAAAAAACAATTTATCTCATTTTTTGAAGTTTTAATTTATTTATTCATTTAAGTAATCTCTACACCCAAGTGGGGCTCAAACGCATGACCCTGAGATCAAGAGTCACATGCTCTACTCACTAAGCCAGCCAGGCAACCCAACTTTTTGTCTCTTCGCATCCAATACGAGTTGAGAAAATCTGAGTTAACATGCAAATTCAGTATAGAGAATTATAATAATCTAGAAATAGTTTTTCTCTTGTTACAACTATCACTTAGTACATACAATTCTAAAAAGTAGAATAAGTTACGGCTAATCTCTTGTGGGTAAAATGGAATTTATAAAATTTACTGCAAAGTAGATTAAGGTAACTTAATCTAAGGTATAGTCAAATGCTTGTCAATTTCTCATAAAATCAGTAACAATTTCTATAATAATTTCCAAGTCTGGAATCTTAAGTATCTTAAATATTACTCCTGTCCCTCCATACCATCCCATACTGTCAAAGTTATGTGACATAATCTTCTGAAGTAGGAGTATATTCTTCACTTAGAAATAAGAGACCTCTTTCAGATCACTGAGTTCCCTGAAGTACAGATATGAACTTAGTGGCCTATATAGGATGGGGCACTAGGAAAACAAAAACATTCAATCCTCAAAGAGATTCTGGGGTATTTTTCTTTCTTTAAAGATTTTATTTATTTGAGAGAGAGAGAGCGAGCGAGCATGAGAGGGGAGAAGGTCAGAGGGAGAAGCAGACTCCCCATGGAGCTGGGAAGCCCGATGTGGGACTTGACCCCGAGACTCCAAGATCATGACTTGAGCTGAAGGCAGTTGCCCAACGAACTGAGCCACCTAGGCACCCTGGGGTATGTATTTTTGACCAAATCTACCACGACTCATTTGGCATTTTCTATTATCTTAGTTAATACAGATCACAAATCTTTGAAAGGACTAAATAAAGGTAGAAACATACAGGAAAAAGAAGAGACCACATGGTCAGAGTGCCTAGATTAAAATTCTGGCTCTCTCATTTTCTGTGTCATCTTGGACATTATCTATCCTCTTTAGGTCTCAATTTCTTCGTATTAAAATGAAAGGATACCAGCATCTACCTCCACTACCTCCGGGATCGTTGGGAATGAAATCCTCTTTGCCAGGACTGAGCACAGTAGCAGGCACAAAGTGAACACACTTTGGTATTAGTTGTTATTAGATAATCTAAATAGACGAAATATGAAATGAAATCTGCTTTAAGTACCACATTCCTCCACATTCTGGCCATTTAGTCATATATCAGTATGTCAAACATAGGTAATTTTTAGAAAATGAGGTTTTTCTTCTCCATACAGAGTTTCTGTCAAGAATCAAGAATATGAAACCAACCTTAAGCATTACCAGGTAATCATCATGACGCTGAATCTGAAGAAGGTTAGCCAAAGCCATTACACCAGCCTTAAAATCAGGATTATTTACTATAAAAGATTAAAAATGGAAACTTACAGCTCTGCAAGCATGTAATTATAAACATATATATAAGCATATAAACTTACAAAAAACATTTTTAATTTTCCAATAACAAGAAAAAAAACCCCTTCGTTTTTAAAACTGCTGCTGCTTAGAGCAGTGTAGGGGCATAGACCATTAGGTAAACTGATGAGGTCAATGGGTTCCCTATTGATTAGCCACATTGACCAAACCATAAATTACCAAGTTAACTCACGTTAGGATTGTGCTGTAACTTTTTCTGCAAGGCACATTTACATGGGACTTTTAAGTTGTATTTCTTCCCAAAGCTATTAATTTTAAACTAGATCCCTTCAGTGGACAATTTTCCCAAAACCTTTTCTCTAAGCAGCTGTAGTCTGTCTAAGCAGCATACTAATTCATAAGGTTAAGGAGCTTATTAATCCATGAGAGTAACTTGTAAATTTTAAGTCACAATGAATCTATCATGAAAGAATACTTAAATTATTATAATACAATCTTTATACTTTTAAAAAGAGAATACTTAAAGGTATCTGGAAACAAAGATGACAAATTTTACCACTTGTCTCGTGTCATTAGATTAGAAAAAATATTTTACGCATCCAGGAAGGCAAATAATCACCACCATGATTAAATACAAATCAGACCCCCAAATCAGTATGAAGAAATCAAAGAACAGCATTCTACATTCAGATATTCAGCTATATGAGGAGGGAGAAAACATACTGTAAATGCTAATAAAAACAACATAAAATAAAACATCAACATAAAGCATTCCTAATTTACTAAAACCAAGTCAACCCAGGGTTCCTCAATCTAGGAAATAAAAAACATGTAAGGGACCAAAAATGTTGATGATATGCACTTACATACTTACCATCCAAATTGATCAATGGCTCTGCATTTTTAGCTGCGTTGTCAGCATTTTTTGTGTTATCAGGTACCAAGTCCTTGTATTTTTCAGCTGTAAACACAGGCAAAAATACAGTTTGTAGAACTGTACCTTAAGGTAAAATAAACATTGCTTATTTACGGAATTTAACTGAGCCAAACTGATTATAAGCATAAGATAACTCACCCAAAGTTATTTTTATGCTATAAAAAAATCCATTAGAAGGCAATGTGATTGTAGCTTTCTGATTAAGCTAAAATGTTTACTGAAATATCTATACAAATATCTCCTCATTAACATTTCTAAAAGTTAAGACATTTCAAACACCATCTACATTTGAGAAGAGAGGGTGTGCATTTACAGTTTGCTCAGAAACTTGGCAGGGGTAGAACAACGAAGGAAAGTAGGTAGAGGTTACATGAGATTAAATACAGACTTACTAAAAAGTTTTTTTCCAAATTTTTTGAATGCCATATATGGAATCCAAAAACCTTGTCTTCTAAAAAAAAAAAATCAGCACTTCAAATACACCATCATCAAAAATAAACCTAAATTAATCACATGGAGACCTGAAACTCAGAATTCCAAAGGCAGCTTTTATTACCTTCACTTGAGAAATACCTAACAAAACTTAAAAAGACTTTACAAATATACGTATTTAATAATAATTCACTAAACTTAATACCCAAGATGCCATCTTTGGTTACAGTGCTTCTGTGATCTCTGAGTGAAACAAGAGGGAAAATAAAAGCATCAAACTTTAAGTCAGACAGGGGTTAGTGTAAAGGAGTTTCCACTGGCCAAAACTGGAACAGCATGAACATCAAAACAACAAAAAAACATTGTGCCCACTGAGTAAAAGAAGAATCCATATATCTACACTAATTTAAATAAAAATAAATTGGAGAGACAGTGGAGAGAAGAGAAAGTGCCTCTTCACAGCAAAAAAGCCAACAAATAAATGTATCACAAATGATGAAATTAGAAAAACACCTCTAGCAATCATCAACATAGTAAGTGACTCAGGCAAGAAAAATCAAATGGAAGCTAAAGGTAAAGTCTGGGCTCAAGTTTGAAGAGCAAAAGCATACTAACATCATCTCAAAGTATCTCCCCACAAGATACATATTTATTACAGAGGGGAAAATATTAACTTTACAGTGGAAAAAACCTTATCGAAGTGATGAGAACAATATGACCAGTAACAGGGCATATCACTAAATTAAACGAACACATTAGTTCTGTGTTATTCTTAACAAAAGTACAAACCTTGAACCTACTTATGAAGAAACCTCAAACAAACCCAAACTGGGAGACATTCTACAAAATGAATGTCAGCATCACAAAGCACAAATAATGACTGAGTAAATGTTCCAGATGATAGCAGGCTAAAGAGATATAATAACTGAATGAAAAACATGGTCCAGGACTGCTTTTGTTTTTTGCTTTTATAGAGAACATTGTTGAGACAACTGGTGAAATGTGAGTTGTAACTATATATAACAGTACTGAATCAGTACTGTAATTATGTAAGATGGTGTCTTATTTATTTTCTGTATATGTGCATTTAAGCATGTAATGAGGAAAGAACGTTTTTAAGTTATCAAATGATTGAGAAAAAATTACATATGTGCATATGTGTACACAGACAATAAGGCAAATGAAGTAAAATGTTAACATTTGCAACATATGGAAATGTGAAAATTCTTTGTACTATTTTGCAACTTCTGTAAGTCTGAAATTATGTCAAAGTTAAAAGAAAAACATTTTAAGTCAGATTTTAATCACCTTAATTGACAAGCTAATGAAAGGATTTAAAAAATGTTAAGGCACAGACAATAAAAATCCACAATGGTTTCATCAAATAATAAAAAATTTAAATACCTTAAACATCAGAAGAAAGCAACATATTAATGTAAAACAAAACAATAGCACCTCCTGTTGATAAGGGATAGTATTACTACTTTAAACCCTTTTCCAAAAAATTACAAACTTGTTTTCTAATTTAAACTTTAAATATGCTTTTGATACTACTTAGTTTTCAACTATAATTCAACTAAAGTTTCAAATAAAATTCAACTACAATTTTTCCATATCAAACATTTGCCATAATTCAGATGCAAACTCAGTTTTGTTTCGCCCCCCCCCCCTAAAAAAGACCATGCTATTATGTACTTAAATGTACTTAAGAGCAACTGTCAACTGCAAGGACACACAATCATATGGCATCTACTGTTCTTGGTAACTATGTAACCTAAACTGCACTATTATAAAAACGGGACACGTGAAATAAAAGGGTAAAACAAAAATAAACTGAGATGTGAAGATAATTTTGGGGGGAAAAGCTGAAAAACACTTTGGAAAAGCTGGAGAAAATTTTGTTGCAAATTAACTAACAGAGTTTCTACCAACTCAGACCACAACAGATTTTGCTGAAGACCCTAAAAGTCAACTAATGCTACCAAGGCTTATGATTACATTTATTTATAAAGAAAGAGAATCACAAGTGTTTTCTTTCTAAACTAAAACTGAAAGTACAGAAAGAGCTTAAAACTTTCCTGAAGATTTCTGCCATAAGGCTTCTGAAATTTAAGTCTGAGGAACCAGCAAAAAAACAGCTGGCTGATGCTCCGTATCAATATACACAAGCATTCATACACTGTATTCATCAAACATTTATTAAAGTTGATAAACACATCTATCGTATCTGAGAAACTATGTCTGATACTGTGGCAGTAAAATCATGACTAGTCCCCTGCCTCCCCACCCCTCAGCCCCAAGATGTCCATTATCCCAATTTCTGGAACCTATGATTATGTTATGTTACATGGCAAAAGGGACTCTGCAGATGTGATTAAATTAAGGACCTTGAAATGGGGGATTATACTGGATTATCCAGGTGGGCGCAATATAATCACAGCATCCTTATAAGGGGGGCAAGAAGATCAGAGTCAGAGAAGATGTGACAAGGCAAGCAGAGTCACAAGAGAGATTTGAAGCTGCTACGCTGTAACTCTTAAGATAACCCGGCCAGAGTCAAGGAATGCAGGCAGCCTTAAGAATGCGAAAAAGACAAAGAAATGGATCTCCTATAAAGCTTCTAAAACGAACCAGCCCTGCAGACAAACTGACTTTAGCCAAGTCGGACAGATGCTGGACTTCTGACCTCCAAAGCAGAACTGTAAGATAATGAATTGCCTATGTCACTGAATTTGTGGTAATTTGTTACAGCATCAGTAAGAAACTGGTAGTAGTACTACATAGGGAAAAAAGGCTGAGTATCAGCTTTTTTAATTTAATGAGGCAAATAAGACATATAAACAAAATGGCAAGTGACGAATGACCAAAAATATACAAGGCAAAGAGCTATGAAAGTTGAGAAAAAATATTACTGTTGCTAGGTGCCATTTAAGCTGGATCTTACAAGCATGAATAGCATTTAGATGTGTATAGATAGACTGACATGGCATAATGGCCAAGGAAAAGTGTAAGCGAAGACATCTAGGGGAGATAAAAAGATTTAAACAGGAAACAGCACTCTTATAGTCTGGCTGGGATGTCAAGTATGTGAATACTGGTTAGATGCCAGTTATCAAAGGCCCTGAATACCAGGCCAAAGGATCTGGAGCTCTTTTCATAGAAAAAGGGAAAGCAATGTTGTTTCTGAATATATAATATGAGGTTCTTTGAAAGCAAAGTGTGGCATTCTAAAACATTTATGTTTCAAAAAATAAGCCTGGTAGGCCATGAGGATGAAAACAAAGGATGACACTAATGGGAGATGAGTCTGAAAGATACTACAATAATCTCAGCAGAAAATGTAAGAGCCTAAACCAGGGTGGTAGCAGTGGGAATGAAGAAAAGGTACAATGGACATCAGAAAAGATGGATGGTGACAGAATGGGAGGAAAAAGAGGACAATGATCAAAAAGGCTTCAAAAAGGGCACTTGGGTGGTTCAGTTGGTTATGCATCGGACTCTTGGGTTTCAGCTCAAGTCATGATCTCATGGATCCTGAGGCAGAACCTCGCCTCGGGCTCCATACTCAGCAGAGAGTCTGCCTAATGTTCTTTCCCTCTGTTCCCCCACCACCACCCCTGACTCTGTGTGCACACATGCATGCTTTCTAAAATAAACAAATCTTAAAAAAAAAAAAAAAAGTCTTCAAAAGCAGAAGATGAAAAGGACTGGGAAGTGACAGCCAGATAAAAGAGAACAACATAAAACTCAGAAGATGCAGGTAAGATAATTGGATCTTGCATTTAGACACTGGCAGGCCTTTCAAAATGAAATAGTCTAATGAGAGGAAACACAAGTTTACTGGAAATTTTTTTAACTACAGGTACTAATATTAAAAAGTTTCCAATATTATTTTTTTAAAATATTTTATTTATTTATTTGAAAGACAGAGATCACAAGTAGGCAGAGAGGTAGGCAGAGAGAGAGGGGGAAGCAGGCTCCCCACCAAGCAGAGAAGAGCCCGATGCACGGCTTGATCCCAGGACTCCGAGATCACCAGCTGAGCCGAAAGCAGAGGCTTTACCCCACTAAGCCACCCAGGTCCCTGTAAAGTTTCTAGTATTATAAGTGTCTATAATAAAATAACATGAAACATATATAATAAACATATTTTGGCCTATAGTACCTATTGGCATTAGATCTGTTTCAGTCTCTTGTGAAACTACTTGCTGCAAACAATACTCTGAAATCCTATCAATTCTAGGACTCTAACAATTTAATCCAGAAGGCTAAGGTGCAGACTGTAAAAGACAGCAAATTTACCAATTTAATGTTACTTTGTGAGAAGACAAATACCAGGAAACACCATTCCCAAATTCTAAGAGAAAAATCTAAATACCAATGAAAGATAGTTGCTTTTAATGTCTTATAAAAAAACAAAAACAAAAACAAAAAAACAACCTTTTTGAAGAAAAGTCTTTCCTAGACAATTTAGGAGTTATAGGGGATGAGAAATGAACACAGAAGGATGGTTATGAAAGTAAACTTTTCACCAGATGCTAAAAAGGAAAATGAGGATATATAAAACTTATAATGAACCAGAGGTGAAACAATGTAAGACAGAGAAACTCAAACTGTTAAGTCCCTACTTTGAAACACTCCTTTTGTTCCCTTTCCTCTTCCTTTCTTTAAAACACACATTCCCCACAAAACATACCATTATCTCCATACTCCAGTCTAACAGCTAAACCAAGAAGCCAGTCAATTGCTTCTTGTCGATCTTGAATCTTGAAAGGACAGTTAACATCTTTGAGATACTGTGAAGAAAAAAAATATCTAGTTCCATTATTACTATAATGTCACAGAATGAAAAAAATGGTAGAGCTGAAAGAGATCTTAGTTTGTATCTCTAAGAATATAAACAACATTTCCATTACTAAATTGTTGATGTAATTATATAATCCAAAGGAAGGAAACATTTAAGTGTACCACTTAAGGAAAAAAAGTACTTGCATCATGCTTTTTGAAATTTTTACTTTTGGAGATTCCAGGTAGGGCGCCACTGGTCTAATCTAAAACAACTTCCTTATTTTACAATGAGGAAAAAAGGCCTAGATATTAACACTTGCCAACAGTTACACAACTTGATTGAGAACTTGAACATAAACTTTCCTATTCCAGGTCTGAAAACACATAGAATGATTTAAAAACAAAAAGCTTTCAAAAGAAGAATATACGAGTAAACCAATTATTATCTAAACCAAGCTTTCATATTATGGAAACGCCACTGAATACAGTAAGCGAAGTGAAACGTGTAGAATGTAACCAAGCATTTTAGATGATTGCCAGAAGCCGTATAGCCAAGAGACCACTGTCCTTCAAATGGGTCTCTTCGGAGCTAAAAATCTCGTTTCAGGAACAACGCTATTAGTCAAAACTTCTACAACTCCTCTCGGATATCGTTTTGGGCCTAATTAATAAATCAGTACTTTTTAGCTGTAACTCATTTTCTAACCAAAAATTTCATACCCCTGCTATAAAGAAAACACCTCATTCACAAGATATGGTCATGATGCAGAACACAAATCTACCTTCAAGGTATAAAAAATTACCAATATTAAAGATATCCAAAATGTCTCATGATCTGAAAGTAATTCAAAAGTTATGAATGTGCTTTAAACAACTGACATCATTCCAGAGACCAACTTGAAAGACAGTATCTGTTTGGATTGTAAGTTCCAATATATTTAAGTTATCCTACTTCACTATCATTTCTAGGTGTTTTTCATTAGAAAAATTTTTATTCTTCAAATACCCTTCTGTGAAACTATGTGTTGTCTCGCACATATGAATGGATCATGAAATGTGATATAAACAAATATAAAATCCTAACAACGTATTTTCAGGTCTTAAAAATACCAAAATTTCAAAACAAAACAAAACACCTTTTTAAGAGCAAAAGAAAATAATCCAGTAGTAGTGATAATGGTAGTAGAGGCAGGGGAAATAATAAAGCATATAGCACTTGCTATGGGCTGAGCATAGCTATATATCACCCATTAACAATACACACCACTGCTGTGACATAGGAACCACTGTTATCCCGTTTATTGACAACACTGAGACACAGAAAGCTTAACGAAACTTGCCTATGGTCATAGAACTAGTGTGTAACTTACACAATTCCCTAATTCATAAACTCTTGATTCTAAAGAGAAAGTATAAAAAATTACCAATATTAAAGATATCCAAAATGTCTCATGATCTGAAAGTAATTCCAAAAGTTACGAATCCCTTTGCTGTGGCAAATAAAAATTTAGTCAATTTTCATATTTTTAAGGGAAAATACCTTACTCTCCAAAGTAACATAGCTGATTAAAATGCTTAATATAATGATACTAGAAAATGTGATTTTTATTCTAATTTGAAAACAATTCCCCTTTCTGCAAAAATGTTACTACAATTAAACTAAGTCAATGGGAAAATTATTCTAGCCACAAAAATAAGCTATTATCCACAGACCTTTTCAGGATTATTTATAATTTTTTTTTAAGATTTTATTTATTTATTTGACAGATCACAAGTAGGCAAAGAGGCAGGCAGAGAGAGGAGGAAGCAGGCTCCCTACTGAGCAGACAGCCTGAAGCGGGGCTCGATCCCAGGACCCTGGGATCATGACCTGAGCCGAAGGCAGAGGCTTTAACCCACTGAGCCACCCAGGCGCCCCTTCAGGATTATTTATATTGTACACAACAATGGACATCTTTGTATGTTAAACAGAACCACAAACAAGAAATAATCTTAGTTTTCAAGCACGTTTAAGTGTCTTACTTTAATAAAAGAAGTGTGTTATCGTTCTCTTTTGGTCTAGGAAAAAATCTGATTTTGGTCACCTTTACCATTTATGGAATACATGTGACCATTTATTTAAGAAACCTCATAGTGTTTCCAGACAAAATTTTCTAACACTGAAAACTTGCAAAAGGTAATATGATTTGTTTTAAAGACAAACATAATAAAGTTAAATCCCTGAAATCCAGCTTTTCTAACCCTGATCATTTTTATTTTTACTTATTTTAAAAGAACAAAGTAATTTTAAGCTTAACTGTCTTCATATAATTTTTAGAAAAGCTCTCTGTACTACTTTTGTTTAACTTTCTAATTCATTACCTTTTCAAAGAACTTGGGCCAGTCACTGCTGTGGATGTTTCTTAAATTACCTCTGTCTTCAATCTTGTAGTGTCTGATTTTCTGGTCTTCAAGCCAAACAATAAAGTTTCTAAATTCTGTTTCATCTGCAACAAAAACATTTCATAAATCACTAGAAACACTAGATAAGAACACTTTCTTCTAACAAATAAGTGGTCTCATGGATTTTTTTTTAAAACTCAAAGAGTAATTATCTGAGCTGCCTTGAAGTAGGAGTAGAAAGTGCAGGTTTTGGATGAACGGAATAACAAATATTCTGTTCAAATTCTGGCCTGCATTCATATTCCAGCTACAAACGCTCAGTGGTTGTGTGAACTTGGGCTAATCACCTTAAATTATTGTGCCTCAGTTTGAGTTACAAAATGAGCATAACAGGACTTTCCTCTTGGGGTTGTTATGAAGATAAAATAAAGATAATAGCAGCATCTGGCACATAGTTTTGCTATTTAAGTGTTGGTTATTATTCCAGTTCTTTTGAGAGGGGAAAATGAGGGAGGACTGGGCAAAGTTAAATTTATAGCAAAAGAACAGTAAAATACAAGAAACCAAATGACAACACAGAAGAACAGAAAATACCATTGTCATTTACTCTCGTAAGTGCAAACGTGAGAAAAGTTCATTCATTTAATTCTCCCACACCTTTCTGAGGAAGGTAATATCCCCAATTTACATATGAGAAGACTGAAGTCCAAAGATTCAAACCTAGATCAAAGCTCTACTGCTACTGACCCTTTTTTATTAAATAAAGTAGAAAAACAAGGTTCTATACATTGATATGCTTCTACAGGAGATCAACAAAACACCCTTATACTGCTCAGAAACCATTTTCAACTTCAAATTCAAGCTTCCATTAGAAAGTCTTGAGAATGATACAATGGTCTTAGTACCCTAGGTTGTACGGAGTCACTTTAAAACTTATTAGTTTACCCAAGGCCAAAAACTCTGGAAGACATGAGAGTAGTGATTGAATAACATGGGTACAAGTGTTAATGCATTTTAAAAGTTTAACGCTGAGAAATCCCAAATACCTTTCCATTTACAATTCAACCGCCCCGATCATCTGCTATTAACTTTTCTGCACGACTCGACAAGCCTGTTACTGTGCGTGCTTATCCCACCACTGTCGGTCCTGGACTTAACTGTGCACTCTCTTGATCTCAAACTGCTGGGTGGGGTCCCACTAAATCCACCCCGCCATCATCCCCTAGTTCCTGGAGAGCAATGAACTAGTCTCTAAGTTACTCAGCACCTTCCCCAGATTTCAGCAATGTGCTGAAAGTATCGCCCAATTACCAGGGGAACCATGGAGCTGAAGGGCTAATTGAGAAAGCGAATACTCTCGTGTGCTAAGGGCGTGGGTGGGGGTTGCTGGTTGGAGTTTAGCAAGTGCACAAAGTGTTTGTGCCCAGGCAGGAGTGGGTGAGGGGGCTCCGAAGCCAAGGAGCGGCGGAAAACGGGTGCTTGGCAGCTGGGCCAGAGGAGCCCCCCCCGCGCCCGCCGGGGGGGAAACAAGGCCGCGGAGGGTCCAGGTGGAGAGCCCGGGTGCGGGCGCTGAAGGGGCGGCCGCCGGCGGGATCACAGACGCGCGGCCGGCCTGGGACCGCCCTCTCACCTTTGCAGTTGAAGCCAGCCGGGTTGTGGTAGTCAAGGGCCGTCAGCTTGCGTCGGAACATGGTCCCCGCGTCTCGCTCTGGTCTCCCGGGCTTCGGCCGGGAGAGGACAGGCGAGGAGGAGCGGGCGGCGCAGGCACCGGCGACGCGGCGAAAGGGCGGGTAGGCGCCTGGACGCTCCGAAAGGACGGCGGCCCTCGCCAATCAGTGCTTAGGAACGGCGGAGCCGGCGAATGCCCACCAATCGCGGCTCTGGCTGAGGAGGCGGGACCACGTCAGGGCACGTCGACGCTCAAATAAACTTTATTGTCAGCTTCCTGGTTGTACAATAGGCAGAAAGCGGCTGAGAAGCCAATTATCCCGTTTTCCGAGCCAGTTTCCTCTTGTTTTTGTCTTCCTGATAGAGCAGACAGAGAATAGTAAATATAGAATTTTTATTAGCAATTCCTCCCATTGGGCCATAGAAGTACTGTTTAATATTTTTAATGTGTTCATTCATTTATTATATGCCTCCTACATAATAGGTACTTTTTTTTTTTTAAGATTTTATTTGAGAGAGAGAGCGCTCGCTAGAGAGAGCAGGAGCGAGCGGCGGGGGGGGGGGGGGGGGGGGGGAGGGAGAAGCAGACTCCCCACTGAACAAGGAGTCCCACTCCAAACTGGAACCAAGGACCCTGGGATCATGACCTGAGCTCAAAGCAGACACTTAACAGAGTGAGCCATCCACGTGCCCAATAGGTGCTCTTCTTACACTGCTAATTCAAAGACTTTCAGCAAGATCCCTTTCAGACTAGTTGGGAGAGATCCACAAGTAAACGTACAACTGTAACACTGTGATGGTTCCAGACATCACCACCAGCTGCGGAATCTGACGCCAGAAACGGAGCCATCCTTTACTACCTCTCACCCCTAGTCATAGCATCTCATAGATCATCCATTCCTATTGTTCTCTCATGTCTCAGATCCCTCACCTCCTCACACCTCAAATCAGGCGTTTATCATTTTTGCAAACACCAGTGATCAGATTTCTTAGGGTCAGTCTTGCCTTCTCCAATCTATTCCCTCCGACCCCCTTCAGCAACCACAGTGTTTATAACAAAAACCTGTTTATAATTTTTTAACAGTATCATTGGGTGATTCCCTGTTGCCTTTCTCAAACAAAAACCTGTTTATAATTTTTTAACAGTATCATTGGGTGATTCCCTGTTGCCTTTTGGAAATAGTCAAAACTACTGTACTTAAGACTGATCAAGTCCCTATTTTCAGACATTGGTGAGAAAGCAGTGAGCAAGACAGACCAGGCCCCCACTTTCATATAGTTTAAAAGGCCACTGAGGGAAGACAAACGATAAAGATAAACAAGTATAAACTCTGGCTTGAAGATGGCAAGGAGTTCACCAGGCAGTCAAAGGGTAATGTGTTTCCAGGGAGGCAAACATACAAAGTCAAGGAATGAGCAGCAGCAGGATCCAGAGTCTGGAAGGCAGGAGAGAGTAACAGCTGATGTGACAGTGGACAGAGGTGGGGGCCTGATCAAGAAAGACTTTTCATGGGGCGCCTGGGTGGCTCAGTGGGTTAAGCCTCTGCCTTCTGCTCAGGTCATGATCTCAGGGTCCTGGGATTGAGCCCTGCATCAGGCTCTCTGCTCAGCAAGGAGCCTGCTTCCCCCCTCTCTCTCTCTGCCTGCCTCTCTGCCTACTTGTGATCTCTGTCTGTCAAATAAATAAGTAAAATCTTAAAAAAAAAAAAAAAAGAAAAGAAAAGAAAAGAAAGGCTTTTCATGCCATGCAAAGAGGAGCTACTGAAGTTCTTGGGGGTAAGCCAACTCCATATGTTTCATTTCATTTCAACAGATTATTATTTAACACTGTATTAGCATTTGTGGGGCATATAAATAAGGTATTTTCAGGAAGTTTAATAGCAAAGATAGATATGTAAATAAATACTTATAATCTAAAGTTAGAAAGTAATAATTCATGGGAAATACAAAGTGTGCTTTCAGATCAAAATACAGGTTTCCCCCACCATCTAAAAGTAGAGTGTTCCTCTGAAAACTTTCATAAGCTATAAATGGTGTAAGCAAAGAAGTATTTACCATTAATTTACATGGAAAAAAATTTTTAAGTGTTCCCAGACCTCAAAAATGACCTCTCTTAGGCTTTTCTGATACCTTAAAACACATCTCACTAATGAATGTACAAAATAAACTAAAATAAAGCACAGATGCTCACAGATAGTTCAAAGCGCTGAGGCTTGATGCAGAGTTGCTGACTGTAGTTCCTGGGGAAGGGGGCTTGGTGGTGCCACTGTTGCTGCTGCCTCTAGGATGGCTCACTGCAAAACAAATGCTGCAAACTATTTTTGCTTTTCGCCTTTTATTGTAAAAGCAAAAATCCCCTTTCTTTCAGTTAGCAAAAAAAGGGGCTGACAGAGGTTTTTTTGTAATGGTTGCTCAACTGCCTTCAGCTCAGGTCATGATCCTGGAGTCCCAGGATCAAGTTCCCCAGCCGGCTCCCTGTTCTGCAGGGGGTCTGCTTCTCCCTCAAACCTTCCCCCTCTCATGCTCATTCTCTCTCTCTCTCTCTCTCTCTCTCTCTCAAATAAATAAATAAATAAATAAATCTTTAAAAAAAATAGTGAAGCAGTGTAATGCAACCTTTTGAAAATCAGGGGATACCTGTACAGCTTTAATGAGGTACAGTGAGACAATCTGTGTTTTCCAACTAAGCTGCTCAAAGAGAGAATCAGGAAAACCAATTTCAAGACTGTCTTGCCTCAACTGAAATTTGATCAAAGCTGCAGCAATAGGCATATACTGTGGTACATGCTGGTTATATAATTAATGAAATACTAGTGGGGGAAAAAAAAAAGAAAAAAATGAACCAAAGAAGGGAAAATAATAAAGGAAAGTTTACATGCAGTTGCAAATAATGGATTTCTTGAACAAGTGGGGAAAAAACAGTTGTTAAGATGTTTCCTGGAATTGACCCTTTAATGCAAAACAACAATAGCAACAACAAAAAGTTAAGTTGTTTGTACCTGACTTTGTTTATTTCAGGGCCCTAAGTTTCCAGCCATTTGGAACTGTCTCTGGTCATCAGCCCCAACCACCCCCAACTATAGAGCAATTGGAAGAGGATTCAGACAGAGTGCTGAAGGGACCCACCAGACTTGAGTAGGGGATAAAGCTAATTTTGGAAAAGAAGTATAATGGGTTCTAAGTATTCAATCTCTTTTTTACAAAAAGTCTTTTGTCTTTTTTTCCTGCATTGGAAGGAGTCCTTTGGCCTATCTTGAATGAAATGTCCAACGGGAACTGAAGCATAGACAATTTCATTTCTGAAGACTAACCCCTCTATGCTTCAGGAAGGAGAAACCAACTTTTACCATCAACTAACCTGAACTTCAACCTAGCGGTTGATCTGGGGTTTGATGGGTCATGAATCTATCTGTTTAATTATTCAGCAAAACTGCTAAGTCTCATCTGTGTGCCAGACAGTCTTCCAGATACTTTGGATGCACCTGTGAACCTATACACGGAAACCCCTGCCCCCAGACAGCTTGCCATCTGGTAAGGGAAGACAATATTATTATAAATAAGTACATTATTTAGTATTTTAGAACGTGTAAGTCCTATGGGAAAATCATAATGAAGTAAGAGGGGTGTGGGGTAGAGGTCGGGACCATGGGGGGCAGTGGGAAATGATGCAGGTTGCAGTTTTAAACAGGATGGTCAGGTTAGGCCTCATTAAGAAAGGACAGTGCAGAGACTTGAAGGAGATAAGGGAGTTAGCTACATGAATGAATGGAGGAAGACTGTTTGAGATCAAGCACTTGGGGCAAATGTGACCTAAGAAAGGTTTATAGATTTTTAAATAGTTGAAAAATCACAAGAAGAATAGTAGTTCATGGCCCAGGGAAGTTGTATAAAATTCAAACTTCAGTATCCTTAAATAAAGTGGTAATGGACCTTAGCCACACCCATTTGCTTATTGGCTGCTTTGGTGCCACAAGGGCCGAGTGAGTGGAGTAGTTGTAGCAGAAACCGTATAACACACAAACCCTAAAATATTTGCAAGAGTTCACATGGTTTCATAAATGCTGGAGTGGCAATTTCACCATTATTACCAGGCCAACACATTATCAAGTAAGATAACAAATCAGAGACACAGGTTATTCTTTGAAGGTTATTTTTGCAACATTTCTTTAAGTCTTAGCTGTTTTACTAGACCCCATTGTTTGAATTATTCTTCCAAAGACAGTGAACAGAACAAGTTGGTAACACTTAGGAATACACACAGAAATCTCTATATTATACAGAAAAACAAGTTTGATGTTCTAATGAATGTTATCAGTTTAACGCCCCATTAAATCAGATCTTTTTTAACAAGTTGTAAATGTAAAGAGGTCTTTCCTCCTCCGGGCCTACCAACGAGCAAACATCTCCATCTCTTTCTGAGACTCTTTTTGTTAATTACAAGGACTTGCTTTTTCTTTTTCTTCTTAATTTAGATCAGGCACTGGAATTGCATGATTTAGCATGAAAAGCAAAAAGCAAGCCAGTAGAGCTCAATTTGAATAGTAGAAACAGAACAGGAATGAATAGGAATTTCCTTAGTCATACAAGAATCATGAAGCATTCATCTTCCATATTTGACAGGGCAGGGGAAAGGCTTGCCTGATAATGAAAACAAAGAGAAAACAGACCAAGAGAGAAAGGCAATTTCTGAAAATGTCTTGTGAGGGCCTACACCCAGCTTTTCAGATATGTGAACCCGATTTTAGTGCTTGCACCGGTTTGGGTTGGGTTTTGTCACCTAGAGCTGAAATAGTCCTGGGGCACCTGACTGGCTCAGTCAGTAGAGCACGTGACTCTTGATCTCAGGGTTATGAGTTTGAGCCCCATGTTGGGTATAAAGATTACTTAATAAAATCTTAAAACAAAACTGAAGCACTCCTAACATGAGGACAGACTCCAGGAAGAGCTAAAAGAGATGACCTACAGAATTGGTGGGACTCAATGAGGAATGAGAAGGAGATAAGATGGCTTAACGGTGACCTTGGAAATGTCAGACGTCACAGGTTTGAAGAACAGAGGGTGCAGGCATAGGAACAGGAGCACTGGTACAAGTGAACCAGCTGGGGAGGCTCGGGAATCAAGTTCAAGTTGAAT